GTTGCGCATATTCACACCCGGTAGTGTGAATCCATGCGCCGTCTGCGCAGTGCTTGCTGTGAACGGCGGCCCACTGCAAGGTGGCGGCCCACTGCAAGGTGGCGGCAGCGTGCAGGACGCGCTGTGCCCACCGACACTGTGATAGGGCGCCGACCCGACCCCGTTACATGAGGTCTCCTCAACCGATGTCGCTAATGGCGGACCGCTCCAAAATGGCGGCCGGCCTGACGCTACACTGTGCGCGCCAACTGTGACTGGCGCGCAATTGGCGGTGCCCACGCTTCCCAGGGCTTTAACCTGCTGCAGCTCCTTTTCCAGCGCTGCGATCCTCGCCAGGAGATCCAACGTGAAATCCTCTCTGGCATTGATGTTCGCAGTTGAGGCTGCAGTGCTTCCATGTTGGGAAGCTGATGTAATCTCCGTAGTGGCTGGGCTAGGTATAGCCGCTGCCGTGGTTACGCCTACCAGTGGCCAGGTTTCTGTTTCACTACTCACTGGTTGCTGATCTTCTCGTGTTGTTATAGGGGTGGCTTCCCCTCCATTCAGCCGGGCGCTCCTCCTGGGTGAGCGCTGCATCTTCCCGATTCCAATAGGGCGCTGACTTAGCGCACTTTAACTGGCGTACCTGTGCCTCCTTGTCGCTGGCTGCGACCACTGACGCCGCCCGCGTCTCCTTGTCGCTGGCTGCGTCCACTGACGCTACCCGCGCCTCCTTGTCGCTGGCTGCGACCACTGACGCTACCCGCGTCTCCTTGTCGCTGGCTGCGACCACTGACGCTGCTCGCTTCTCCTTGTCGCTGGCTGCGACCACTGACGCTACCCGCGTCTCCTCGTCGCTGGCTGCGACCACTGACGCCACTCGCGTCTCCTTGTCGCTGGCTGCGACCACTGACGCCGCTCGCGTCTCCTTGTCGCTGGCTGCGACCACTGACGCCACTCGCGTCTCCTCGTCGCTGGCTGCGACCACTGACGCTACCCGCGTCTCCTCGTCGCTGGCTGCGACCACTGACGCTACCCGCGTCTCCTCGTCGCTGGCTGCGACCACTGACGCTACCCGCGTCTCCTTGTCGCTGGCTGCGACTTCTCCATCAACACGTGGGACGCTGGCTGCGCTCCCAAGTTGCTTTAGCAGTCTCTATCGGACTGCGAATAAAAGGAGTTGTCGTGCGTCGCTTGGATTTGCCTTTAACGGCTCCACATCTCCAGTTCCCGCCAAACAATAGGGAAGCCTCTTGGCCCGAGGCCGACAATTAGATGTGAAGTTTTCGTCGTTTTATTCTGCGGAAAAATTAACTTAACCTTAATTTTTACACATTTATAACTCTCACACGCGCTTACCGCAGTGTGTCCTCCTAATTCTCGCACGACAATAAGACGCTCAATTTTGGCGGTTAACTTAGCGATAAAAGTATGCCCTTTTTCTCTTGGGCTCAAAATCCATTAGTATTTTTTACGTTATTCTTAATATACTAACTACGCCTATCGATTACAATATTCGATCGTCGACAAAGTGATATATAGTCAGAGGATAATGACTAAGAAAGCCGGAAGGATGTACTGTAAAAATATGTCTTTAATTTAATTCAGAACAATTGAGTATTTATGAATCTAACATGTCATATTAAATAATGAAATCAAAAATATATTTTGTTATTCTTTTGTTATAAACGTATTTTATTCAGATTTGACTCATCTTTTGATCCTTATTTATCTGCTGAAAACATAATTTTCTTACCAAGTACTTAATCTCTTCGATAACTTTAACACTAGGTTTTTCAGTTTAGAAAATTTGAAATTAGAGTTTCAGAACTTCAATAATCGATTTTTAATGTGTGTGATCACTGTTCAAAATAGCTTTGTATTAGCTTGATTACTTTTCTAGTTTTATGGTCTATTATTTTTGGTGATGCATCCACATTACGTTATTTGTGGTAATAAAATTGGAACTGCACATGAAACTTTTATGACCTTTTGCTTTTTGTGCTCTCTGAAACACGAAATTCTTACACAAGTCATGAAATTTCCATCAAACACACTAAATTATTTGTTTGTTTCTTTGAAAAATTGCTCTTTTTCAACAGCCCAAAATTGGGTATACTAAAATGGCTAATATCTGTGCTGTAAGTTGATAAAATGTCTCATTTTTCGCTCAGTGTAGTCGCCGACCGGTAACGTCACTTGTCTATTTTTTCCCGTGCACTGCTCTTACCTAAACTATTTAATTATGAAGTCATTGCTTGAGGTTTGAATTTGTTCTCTTCAGGTATTTGTCAAAAAAGAATAATAATATCCAGCTGGTGGTTGGTATTATATAAGAAAGGAGGTATAGCTCATTGGCATACCCTTAATCTTTATTGATTCAATTAGACTAGACATTAATGCTTGTACCAGTCACCTTAGGGCTTGAAATGCTCTTGAACTTGTTGTTCTATTTTTATGTGTTCCTAGCACACGCAAAAGTTATTAACATATGAGAACAAGACCTTGAATAATATTCTTTATATGCTTTTTATTTATTTTTAATTTGTTGTCATTTGTTTGGGGATTATAGTTGTGTGTTTGAGAACATTTAAAGAGGCAAGAAGGCAAATTAAATATATTTTACTATATCACTTAAATAATTTGCTATTTATTTTATATATTCACAGCTGTGGTCCTCTTGAAAAAGATAACTAGGAGTTCAACAGACTCCTCTTCCTACACACAAAACTAAAAAAGGGTCATATCCACCCACACACTCACAAAATGTTGCGTAATACGCCTTTTGGGGCCACGCCCACCTACAAATTATTACTGGGCTTCGGCCTCTGCTCCCTTGGCGGAGCCATGTTATACGCGTACTTTAAGAACCGCCACGACGAGGAGGAGGAGGGACAGGAGCCGAGATCAAGGAATGGGGCCCAGAGCCAGCAGGAGCAGAAGCCACAAAAGGAAGTCTGTCTCAAAATCGTCGTGGACAATGAGCATGTGCCCCTAATAATGGGACGCGGTGGTTCCAATATCAAGTTGATTGAAGAAAAAACTTTGGCCAAGATAAGATTACGGTAATTGGATTTAAATTCTATCAAACGTGGGAGTCGAATTTTAAATTCACTTCAAAGTATTGTATTACACAAACAAATATATATACGTTTTTGATCCCGCAGAGACAAGGACAGTGGACACAAATTCTGTGACATTACCGGTCTGCCCGATGCTGTAAAGGCCGCCCGTGTCCTGCTAATTAAGGAGATTGAGAGAGCGCCCATGGTGAAAGTAGAGCTTCAAGTGCCCCAAAGATTGGCCAGCAAACTAAATGGACGCGGCGGTGAGCTGATTCAGGAGATCCGGAGCACCTCGCTGGCCAAGCTAAACATTGATCCGAATGGACGAAATGGCAAAGCCAAAGTCACCATCGTGGGCAACCAGAAACAGGTGAATATAGCGCGGAAAATGATGGACGATCAGATAGAGGAGGACGAGGAACTACTGCGATCTATGGAAGAAGTGGAACAGCGTCGCGAACCCCGTCGATCACCGACCAACAGCATCGCCTCCTCCAGCATGTACTCGTCGCAGACATCTCTGAGTTCGCACACCCAACCAAGGGATAAACTGATGGCGGCCAAGGGCGATGGCAAGCCCATGGAGGTTTATGTTTCTGCTGTGGCCTCGCCCACCAAGTTCTGGGTGCAACTGATTGGTCCGCAGTCTAAGAAGTTGGATCACATGGTCCAGGAGATGACCAGCTATTACAGTAGTGCCGAGAACAGGGCCAAACATGTACTAACTGCTCCCTATATTGGCCAGATTGTGGCTGCCGTCTTTAAGTTCGATGAGAAGTGGTATAGGGCTGAGATCGTCGACATTATGCCCAACCAGTATAATCCACAAGAGCAGGTGATCGATCTGTACTTTGTGGACTATGGAGATAGCGAGTATATTTCGCCAGCGGATATCTGTGAGCTGCGCACTGATTTCCTAACTCTCAGGTAGGAAAGCCTTTAATAAGTAAAAACCTTTAATAATTCTCGTGTTTATCTATGTTAAATGTTATAAGATTCCAAGCTGTGGAGTGCTTTTTGGCCAATGTCAAGTCTACTATTCAATCGGAGCCTATAACCTGGCAAAAATCATCCATAGCCAAGTTTGAAGAGCTTACAGAGGGTAAGGACTGATCTAAAATAGCTGATAAACAACCAGAATCTAATTCTTCCTCATTTTTTAGTGGCCCACTGGAGGAAGCTTATTGCCCGAGTAGTAACCTACAAGGAGCGCCCAAAGGCAGCCAACACTGCCGCTTTAACTTCCGCCGCCAAGGAGGGCACTCCGCTGCCCGGCGTGGAATTATTCGATCCTGCTGATGGTGTTGAAGTGAATATCGGTGATTTGATGATCACACAAGGGTTTGCTCTGCCTCTAGATGATGAGTATCCGGTAAGGTCGCGGTCTTCAACGCCTTCCAGTAACAGCGACTCGACAATCGAAGAGCTGTGCGTCAGCAATCCTGCCACTCCCCTTACGCCGCGCTCTCCCATGTCGCTCTCCATTGCGGATTCGGAGAGCATTACGCAGGCGGAAGATGCTCACATCGCCCAGCAGATGCAACATCTGCAGCACAAACTCAATGGCAACGATATAACGCAAGGCATTAGTCCTGTGAAGCTGACATCTGCAGACCTCGAGAATGGCAATAATAACAACAGCACTACCAATGGCAGGTCAGCGCATTAGGGAATCCACACTTGTTACTAGTTATCCTCGCCTAATTGTTTTCACGAGACGGGCAGCTCACTACTTGACGTGTACATAAAAGTATAGCTCTTAAGGAACTTATTATATAGGTATTGAAACTAAAAACTGGTTAATTTATCGCCGTGACTGCTCGACATATCCTAGATCCTAGACGACCGGCACAGATCCTTAATTGTTTATAGAAAGCTATGCCATGTTACTTATTCTTAGCAATAAAGACGAACAAGACCATTTCTACACATCGATACACAAAGACCACACACAAATTGTATAAAAAAGAAATGCATTTTTTAAGAACATCAATCTTAAGTCTATTAAATGGGACTGGCTTGGGTTCACGTCGTATGGAATATTAAAATATTATACCAATTAGAAGAGTTCGTAAATATGCTTAAAGAATCAAAGAAATAATACAAATTGGTGGCAGTCTTGTAAAAGAAGAATTTAAGTAACCCGAACAAGGCCAGCCGTACAGTCTTGGTGGGGTCCCCTAGATTAGGATATCGTTTGTGGTATTTATAGCTATGGGTGGCAGGTATATAGCTCGTATCTGGCTGCGCAGGCGTGCTATTTCCATGTCGTCGCGCTCCATTTCCCGGATGAGTTGTGAGAACTGAACTAATCCCTCGCGGTTACCAGGAAAACCATGTCCCTTGATTACCTCCAGCTGGAGTTGCATGACCAAAGGAAATACCTAAAAATCGAAAACATACTTAAGTTATGAAACATTATGCTTAAATTATCCTTATTTACGTGCTGCATCATGAGAATCATCTCTTTTCCAGCCGAGGCCTTTGCTTCTGAGAGTTTCTTGGAGTTTTCCGGCTGGTTGACACAACGGATGATGTCCATAAGTATTTGTTTAGCATTCTCATTGTTGAAATTGGCCAAATATGACATAATAAACGTTCAAGTGGCAGTAACTCTTGGTAATTTCACAAAAATATTCAACAATTTGCACTTTTTGTTTTGTTGCTTGCTGTCTCTCCCACTTATCGATAGTTACTAAACTATCGATTGAACTATTGACGGCACTGCCCTTAAATCAGCTGTTGAGTGTTCACAAACAAAATTAGCAATATTAATCGAAATACTTAATTGAAGAACAAATTTATGTATTTAATTTCGGAACGGAATTAATACGTTTTGATTATTATTTGCGGCAAAGAAAGAAATAACCCTGCTTTTAGCAGAACCTATTGTTGGCAGCGTTTTCCAACACTAGCCATGGAAAAATGTCACGTCAAAGAAACAGTAGCAACGACAAAAGACACAAATAATAAAAAAGCTTATTTTGCGCTGGAATTCGTATAATTCCCAGTAAATTTAAAGCCATGCAATTGCATATTTAGTACGCGCCGCCAAATTGTGAAATAAATTGTAGAGTTTTAAACACGCAGTTCGCCCAGCAGCAACAACGAAACGCAGTTTTGGGCCATTGCATTTTGCGAGAGTGTGAAAAGTGCGTGTGTGCAAAAACCAAAAGAGGAAGAGCGCAAAAGAAGCAGCGAAAACAACAACACACAAAAACACAACACACGCACACACAACAGAGCCACCCACATCTGCACATACATACCACACTCATACACACAACACAAAACTCCAGCGCCGAGTCAGCAAATTCTGCCACACACACAAGACGGAAGAAGAAGAGCTGAAAAAGAGGTGCCCACATCTCCATAAACTCTAAAAATTCGCGTTTCCAAGTCTCCGGCGAAATGAATCGGTCCGACGGCTTGGTGCGACGCTCGGTGAAGCCGAGGGAAAACGGCGCGGAGGGCGGCCTGAATGCCAATACGCCGGATGACAATCAGGAGGCGATCGACGGTCTCAAGGACCAGGAGGACAATATCGATGATGGCGACTCCAAGGAGACCCGGCTAACGCTCATGGAGGAGGTCCTGCTGCTGGGGCTCAAGGACAAGGAGGTGAGTTGTTGGAGGATGCTCCACTTTATCTATTTTGCTTGCAACATTTTCCTGGTTTCGCTAATTAATTGGTTTTCCCTTTCACAACACGAGCATGTTAATCAAAAGCAGCATATTCGGAAGCTTCTTCTTCACCTGTTAACTGTGTGCCATCTCGCTCCCACTTTGGCAACCTTTTGTTTGGCCCCCAAGTGCATCGTGGTCCATCTGTAGGCAGCAGGGGCTTAGTTGAAGGGGGATCTCAGTCAAAGGGGTAATGATTATATCCTCTAATAAGAAAATGTATGAGAGGATGTTGGGCAAAGTTGTAATTGGTATATTTCCCAATAGGGAAATCTATGAGAGGATTTATTGAAAATCACTTGGTTATGAGTTGATTATGAGCAACTAATCAGCATTCTAAAGTTAAAGTTATAATATGAGTTAAATGATTTAATCTTCTTTAACTTACGTTATTAATTAACCCCTTTTTTCCCATGTTTTTTAAGTACAAAACTAGGCCCCTTCTATGTTTATTTGATAGTTTTGTGGCCACCCATGCCTCTTCAACTTCACCTCAGCTTTACCAGTTTGTTGTGCAATATAAACTTTGAAATCTCTTGGCCAGATGAGTAATGCACAATTAACGTGCCAATAGCGCTTCTCTAAAATCTTTTGTTGTGGCCATAAATAAATGCAAAGCTTCGTCTTCGACAACTCTTATCAAAGTGTTTTGGGTTTTTTATTCCATTGGCAGCAGTTCTTCTAATCTTTATAGCTGAAATGGTTTACTACGTTTCAGTGTGAAAGCAAACTAAAGCTTAAAATATAATCTTTTAAAGTAAAACTGCTGTACTCAGCATATAATAAGCTTTTTTAATACCCTTTCAGGGTAATATAGTTTCAGTCAGAAGCTTGTAATACTGTGAAGAAAGTTTGATTTGTCGAAACATTGTCATTGATTCAAAGAATTCCAATATTTAAAGCTTAGTTAAGCTTAAGCTATGATCAATTTTGTTTCGATCCTTTGATTTGATTGCCAACTGAAAAGGGTATATTAACTTCGGCTTCCCGAAGCTAATTTTCTTGTTTCAAGTTGTCTTGTTTTTTTCTACCGATAGTACACATATTTGTTGATTAAGATTCAGTTACCTTATGGATAATTTTTAATAGTATAGCTACTATTTTCTTCCAGGTATTGAGATATGTAAATTCTTAGAAGTAGTTATCAGCGATAATTGAAATTCACTTAGCCAGATAAAATAAAAAAAACGTGCTTTTAAGGCCGTACAATATTTGCACACTACTATCTTTCAGTTCTTTGATTAGATAATTCCCAGCTACACCTGTGTTTGTGCAAATCTACCCAATTACAGCGATTCCCCTTTTGAAAACTCCACTCAAAACGAGACTCATCACGAAGCTCTTAGTAGCATTCCGTCAAACGAGTTTTCCCATTGGAGAGGTGCCCACTTAATTTGCATACGATTGAAATATTCATAAATCTCCGCATAATTTTTGGGATGCTATCCATAAAGCGAATCGACTCCAAACGTACGTGCCCTATCCCCAAACCCATTATAGCTAACCGGCAGAATCCCATTTTCTCCATTGAATTCGCTTATTGTATTTCACTTCTGCCTCCCAGCACTTTTATCGCTCAATTTGCCCGTTCGCATATAGCGAAAAACATTCAGCTGTGTGAGTGATGGAAACCAACCACATCTATTTGTTGTTTTATTATTATTTTGTCCGCAGTGTACGAAAAACCCCCAGGGGAGGAGAGAGATAGGTAGCTTGTTGCCTCTAGCTTTTGTCTTAGTTCTTGTCCCACATCTGCCCCCTCCATCCGCTTTGTGCTCTTATCACTGGAAACACTTCTTCCATTTGGTTAATTGCTTGAGGAAGTGCTTCTAAAATGGTCCCGCTCTCGTCGACTTCCCACATTCCTCGTCGGCACTCTCTTATCTGTCACAAAACGTCATTCATTATTTGAAATGATGTGTGTTCTATATACTATACCCATTACGAGGGTTTTAATATCACGATAAGCGACATTTTCTATTATTCGAATTGCAAATGATTCATTTTTATGGTCTGGTTGCGCAACCTTTTTTAATAGTAAATATGTAGGTATACTTATCTTTTATAGGTTTATGCCACGTTTTAAAAGTTTTATCTTATTTTATATAAAGTTTAAACTTTTGACTTGAAAGTTATATTTACAAATTGTTTATAAAGATATAAGTACATGATCGGTTGTTATTATCATCCTGGTATTAATTTATCGATGGCATATGGGCAATTCTCTGGTGTCGAATGCGACATTCGTACGCATTCAAACTAAAAAAACACATGTGCCAAGACTTTATTTTAATTTTATAAAAATTGAAACGCATAGCTCTTGGTTAGCACTATAATTGGTGCAAAGGTCGATTTTGAATCCTTATTTGTTTTCAAGATATTCACTAAAATGTACTGCGTTCGCACGCGACAAAAATAGAAGTTACATTTGAAAAAAACCAGTTTAAGCTCTGATTTCAGCGAAACGTTATGAAAAATTGTAGTACAATAAATTTAATGAATTACGCAATGAATTATCTTACTAACGTATTTTGTTTGATTTTAAAATATTAAGTAGTTATTTTTTAAATTCAATTTTAGTCCCGGTCGCACGCGACAGTTTGGAAAGCGATAATTCAAACTGAAACTGTACGAATATTGGTGATCGGATATGTCCTTTTGCACTTAATATTGAATCTTTGAGTTGTTTACGTTATATTAGAAACCAAAAGTTAAAGCAAAATGGTTCGGTTTAAGAGATGGGCATCAAAACAAAACATGCCATTTTTTATGCCTTTTTTTGATAAAACAACATTATTTGCGTTTATGGTTTTTATGTTAAGCTTTATTTTTTAGGACGAATTTTTAAAATCTGTTCAATCTATTGTTTTTGTGATATTCCCATTGTAGGGTTTCATACCTATATATTTGTATATACTATTGTGGCTTTATGTATTTTTTACATTATAAAAAAGGTTACTACCTACTCATTGATAATAAAGTTTCTATCGTTAGTTTCTGAACAGATCTCACAAGTTATTTTCCTTCTGATATGAAGCATTGTTTGGTTCTATTTGTAAAGCCTAAGTAAACTCAAGTGTTTAATGTTTAATCAACTGTATTCTGTCGTCTGAGAACTTCCCGTCCCTGGCAACATCTTAATTATTCATTTTTTTCCACGGTTCCCCTATGAGAACAGACCCAGAACAGACCACTTTTTATTTGTTTAAACAGGCGTTCATATAAAATTAATTTGTGAAAGCAAGGAAGTAAATTTGATGCACATAAACTTACTGTTTCTGTTTAAATTCTATAAATAAAAAACTCCTACTCATTTCAGGGATACACATCGTTCTGGAACGACTGCATATCAAGCGGTTTACGGGGATGCATTCTCATAGAACTTGGACTGCGAGGTCGAGTGATGATCGAGAAATCTGGAATGCGACGACGTGGCCTATGTACAAGGTAATTATTGTAAACAATATAGCATCTTTGATAAACCAAAAACTAAATTCAATTCCATTGTTCTCTTCTATATAGAAATTAATTCTGAAATCGGATCAGCAGACGGGCGATGTTCTATTGGATGAGGCATTAAAACACATTAAGGAAACAGATCCCCAGAGACGGTGCAGAGCTGGATTGAATATCTCAGTGGTACATATACTCAGACAAGTCGAAAATGAAGTTTTGAATAATTATATACTGTTTGTGTTGCGACAGGTGAGACTTGGAATCCATTGAAATTGCGCTACCAGCTGAAAAATGTACGCGAACGTCTGGCCAAGAATCTGGTGGAGAAGGGTGTGCTCACAACGGAAAAGCAAAATTTTCTGCTCTTCGATATGACGACACATCCGCTCAGCGACAATGTGGTCAAGTGCCGCCTGGTGAAGAAGGTGAGTGTATGAGAAGATTGTCTTCGTTAAGGAAATCAATAATATCTTTCACTTTCTTCATCCAGATTCAAGATTCTGTGCTCTCCAAGTGGGTTAACGATCCGCAGCGCATGGACAAAAGAATGCTGGCGCTA